TCTTCGCACTACGGTGGATTTGGGCCCACTGGTTGCCGTGAGTTCCCTCATGTGGCTCCGTTCCAGAAAGATTTGCATATCAGGCTGAGGAATGTGACAGTTTATCAAATGAGGAGCCACAAATCCAGGCCCACGCCCCACAGGAACGTCGCTGTCAGCGGGGCCCCATCCACACCAGCCCAAACCAGGCCCCCCACCGCTTCCATCTGTCTTACTCAACTCAAACCCCTGGAAGCAGGAGATAGGAACATTTGCTCGCTCGTCTGAGCGAACTCCTCCCATCTAAATTTTGGTGGAGCCGATTTGTCCCTGAGCGTGCGCGGTTATAGCCGAAATTACAGGAACCAAACCTATGATGTAAGTTTGCTACAACTAAGTATGCGTTTTTCAAAATTTCCCACTTTGGTGATGAATTTCCACCCAAACTTCTTTGGAAAAGGTGCAGAAGTTAAAAGGCAAGCACGATTATCAATCTAACTTAAAAAAAAGAAAAAAAGATATGAAACATCAAAATGCCCCTTACTAGACGCTGGATCTTTTTAAGGGACCAAGTTATATTATTTATTTATTTTGTTTATATTTATTTATTATCTATGTAGAGTTAATGATGAAACTTTACTATATGGACTAGCTTGCTTATTCTTTTACTAAAATAACTTATTTCACACCTGAAACTTCTCTCTCGTGAACTGAAACTCAAAGGGCAGGTTGATACCCACAGGTGTGATGAGCGCGGCTTTTTTAACACGCCGCTTCAAAGAGAACTCACCGCGATTGCTCCGGCAGAGCGAAAATAAAAGCCAAACAGGTTTGTGCAGTCAGACTGGGAGGGATCCTTTTTCCAGCTTTTGCCATAGAGGCAGGGTTGTCACACAATGGGGGCGGAAAACGACAGAGGCCCCGTTCAAAGGGCTGCTTGATTGTACTGTTTCCTGTCGGGAAGCGCTGCTGGACGGCCTGAAGGCGGCGTTAAGGCGGCGTTTAGGGTTAAGGCGGTCACCTGGACACGACCCTCATGTGGGCAGCAGCATCAGGCCACCCTTAAACTCCTTCACCTCTGACCAGTCTTTGCTGAGTAATTAAAAAAAGGTCCTTCTCCCACGCCCATGTGCACACACCCTCAGAGCCCACACACACTGTGTCACACACACACACACGCTCGGACACGCCTCGTGTCGGCGGGCCATCTGAGATGGTTCCGCTGAGTGTAAAGGTCCGTCCCTGCGTGCTGTAAAACGGGACTTTGGGATCAGTGGGCGGCCATTGCACCACACCTGCTCATTGGCGTCGCCATGGCAGACGGCCACAAACACCTGAAGCGTGTCGGAAAACAGAGCTCCAGCTGACGGTCAGCACAGCGCTCTGACACCTGCCCCGAGCACAACAAAGCACACCGCACACAACCGAATATCCGTTCACCTCCTCACAGAGCTGCTCAGGTCGGGTCGGCCTGCGTGACCCCTGACCCCTGAGCACTTTGATTTTAAGGCTAAATCGCTCGGCCGGATTGATCCCCAGAGGACACAGTTAGACAACTAAACTTTAGTTGAACTGAAGATCCATGTTGAAATCATGCAAACGCCCTCTGCAAGGGGTGAAAGGAGACACTAATCAAATGATGACTCCTCCCAAAGCGGGAAATACGGAGCAGGAATATCAACGAGACAGCAGATTTTTTTTTCTCTGCTGCATGTTTTTGTGCATTAAACTAAAATACAAGCAGAGACAGATCCAGTTTAGAAGATTAACTGGCTGATTTGTGCTTAATTTAAGTCAATGACAAATAAAGATGCTTATAAAATCATTACAGAGGCTATTTATGAGAGTTAATAGAGTTGATAGACTTTCAAATATAGGGACAAGATCAAGGAACTTTTTGCCGAGCAGAGCAATGATCCAAATGGTAAAGTGTCCGTCTTTTTTCATTTCAGTTGGGATATTTTCAGCTCAAACTTAAACGTGCTTCAGGTGGCGTCCAAAAGGGTTTATTTTCGGAGAGAGCAGAGCTCTCGTCTTGAATGAATCTCTTTTCTGAGAAGGAGAAAAACCGAGTTGTGCCGCTCATGATTACATTATGAAGTGACCATAAAGGCCGAGTAATGAGAGTCATCCAAAACATGGTTCACAATTCATGGTGGAATTACAGAGATTGAATTAACTCTCTGAGAGAAGAATCCACTTTTCGAAACCCGAATGATTCAGACCCTGCTGATAAAACAAAGGATTTTCTGCTGTCATGTGAACTCCACAAAGCAGGACAGGAATTCCCCCCCGGCTCTGTTTTCTTTTTTCTTCTTTTTTTTTGGTTTTTGTGCTCCTGTTCAGGTTTCTCCGGGTCCAAATGGAAGCTAAGCCCTGAGAGCTGCCGGACGGGCCCGGAGCTGAGCGGGATGATGGGAGTGTGCTTTTATTTCGGGACGTTTCCATGACAACATCGGGCCCCAGAGGCGCTGGCGGGAAAAAAGGGATGGTTGGAGAAGATGGAGGGGAGAGGGCATTGTGGAGGGGGTTGGATCGGCCATGCCAAGATTCATGACTCATTGTGGTGAGGGACCGGGGGAGGAAGCCGAGGAGGGAGGAGAGGAACTCAGGGCGGGTATTGGTGGAGGGACAGTTGGGAGGGGAGCTGCCACTTTTACCTGATGGGAAACATGGAGAAAGTTCAGTTCAGGACTGCTGTGACTCAGGGTCAAACGCTGCAAACCATCAGTCATGAGTCATGAGATGTTGTCTATCTGAAGCCACAGTCAGTCAAATCTCGACATTCGGGCGCTTTAAACTTTGGTTATCTGTAAAATAACTGGTCTCAATGAGCGTGTATGTGCTCTGAATATTGCGCAGCTTGTTTTTTAACCCCACAGGGTGTGTGGTGTTAACCATAAAACATCCCACTCAATGGCAAACCGGTCCTCCTCAAGCCGCTCCGTTGGCTTTGCGTTGGTTACAGACTCCCTGACGTGAGGAATTTTTAACCCTAAAGCAAAGAAATACTTCACTCGAGCGAAAATGCATCACTTCAGGCCACTGTTGTGTTTCAGAGATGCTTTTAGGTTAAAAGTGTTGTCGCCTGACAACATGAGCTTGTAGATAACATGCCGATATGGTACTAAAAACTCACTTTTTCACACCCGACAGTGAGGATGTCGTCCATTTTGTCCACTGAAGGGACGCATTGTTGCCAGTTTCTTTCAAACTTTGTTACAATCCCGGAATTTTAAACATGTCTCCCCCCCTGGGGTTGATGCTGTGCTGCATGAGGGGTCCAATCTGATCATCTCCACACATTTTTACATCTGTTATGAATCTCAACCACGTGGGACTGAGTGCTGATTGAGCTTTTCAAAACCGGTGTTATGCCTCCACCACGATCCCAGATCCAGATGAGTGGAGGAGGAGACGCCTGGGATGCATGTGTAGAGAAATGAGGAGGGAGATTTCATTATGCGACCTAAAACAGATAAGCAGAGCTGTCAATTACAGGAGATTTAATCATGTAGTGTCAGGGAGGAGTGTCTCTGTTCTGCATTTCTTTACTGCGAGTTTCTGTCTCTTATCTACATAAAGGCTACTAATTTTACATACCAATGCTGTGTGTGACTCACCCAGTGAAACAAGAAACTAAGCCAGTTATTGTAATCACTAAATATGTGTGGCAACTAATTTTTACTTCTCATTCTTTTTTTGTGTGTATAAATGATGAAGAATAAAACCACAAAGCAGCCGTATATGATAGAGCAATACAGTTTTCTTACAGGAAAGTATCAGTAAATTGGACTAATCTAAAAGCCTTGAATTATTGAGCACATTATTATTATTATTAATTCCAATGTCAAGCCAATAAAAGCACTTACCTTTAACTTGAACTTACCTTTAAAATTCTCAACATCAGCTATCTATTTGCCAGATTTTGTGCAGTATTCTGCTGTGACAGGACAATGATATTATTTGCATTATATATAGTGATTTATTTGATTAAACAACATGTGGTTTGTCCATTTGAGTGTGAATAGACCAGTGGTGTTAAGTTTTAAAGCTATAGAGAACTCTCCTTAAGTCAATACAGCTTAGCTTAGCTTAGCATTAGCCTAAGGGTCAGGGGTTAATTCACCTGTCACCTAACATACTGACTAACTGTGGTCTTTGGTTTTAGGGCACATTTAACCAAGAGTGCTTCAACTCTCTACTGACACATGGCTAATGCACTACATGGCTACATGGCTACAGATTGTCAGTCATGGGAACAACAATTGAGGGTTCATTTCAGCTCTTTTGTTCAGCAAAGATGACGTCCCACAGTATTAGTAGTTAAAGTTGAATTTCTCTTTTCTTTGAATTTCACGAGGTGTCTGCAAGCCAGACCTGTTTTTATCATTTAAAGATGTAAAACATTGAACACAGGCTGGAGAACCAGTTGTCTGGGTCAGAAACTGCTGCTGAAAATAACTAACAGGGGGAAGAAATGGTGTTGGAATCAATGCTGGGTGATACTGGGTTCACTACGACGGACTATGGATCACTCTCATTGTTCTCATACAGACACACAAACCTTATCAGTGAATGACAAACACACCTGAAAAGAGTCACTTCGTTCCCCTTTTCTCTTTCAGAACCGCTGGAGTGTGTTGATATAAATACACACAGTCCTTGTATAATATCATCTCTCTGCAGCCCTAACAAAGACACTCTCTAAAGACTTTAAGGAAGGGTGTAAAAGGAGCAGGTAATAGTTTTGACTGGCCAGTGTGTCACAGAGGTGTAAAGTTACAGCCCTGCCCTCCTTCTCACCCAGATCTGCAGCCAATGGCGGCTCACTCAGTCCCCTCCCACAGGCTTTAAAGCTCCTCAGTGCATTCCCCCTCTGTCTATCCACTCTGGTCTTTCCCCGCTGCTGGCCTGCCTGCCCGACTGCCTTCCAGCCAAACCAGCCGAGCAAACCGCTCTGACCAGCCCAGAACTAATCAGCTCGACAGAGGAAAAAAAAGAAAAACAACTACTTCACAATGTCTTTTAGGACCTCAACCACCTCTTACAGGAGTTCTTCAGCCCCGAGGAACTTCAGCAGCAGCTCCTACGCAGGACCAGGCGGCATCTCCTCCCGCAAGAGCTTCACCGTCAAGAGCTCCTACGGAGGTGCCGGCGGCCGGAGCTTCGGGGGAGCGGGGGGCTTCGGGGGAGCGGGAGGCTACGGGGGAGCCGGGATCACCAGCAGCTCGGCCTACAGCGTGAGCTCCAGCATGGGCGGCGCAGGAGGCATGGGCTTCGGCATGGGCATGGGCTACGGAGGCGGCATGGCCGGCCAGGCCCCCATCACCGCCGTGACGGTGAACAAGAGCCTGCTGGCCCCCCTCAACCTGGAGATCGACCCCAGCATCCAGATAGTCCGCACCCAGGAGAAGGAGCAGATCAAGACCCTCAACAACCGCTTCGCCTCCTTCATTGACAAGGTGAGAGCCAGCTGTGTGTGTGGTGCCAAGCTCCCCTCCCCACCCCCACCACCCCCAGCTGTGTGAAACTGCTTCGGTTTGGCCCTAATCTGAGGGTCCAAAAGTTGTTCAGATAGGATCCTGTTGTGCAACGTTAGACAGGGGCCTGTCTGTCTGACACATGTCCCATTTAGCTGATTTCTGGGTTTAGTTCAGCGTGGGGAAAGTTGATTTATTTCCTCTGCTCGCCTCCCAAATGCAGCACAGGCATTAGGGTTTGGCCCCTCCATCTTTTGGCTCTAGTTACACCCTGATGAAAAACAGCCGTGTAGGCAAGAGAAACCCCAAAAGTCAGAGAGAAAACAGGGGTGGGGGGGGGGTGGGCTAAGGGTGTGTCAGGGCTTGTGATAAGAGTTACCTTGGGAATGGCCCCTCCCTCGTTTGGGGTGTGGTTCCTTCTGCTGCCCTGTTGGCCTCCCAAGCACACACACACAAACAAATGTCCAAAATGAAGGCTAATTGTTACCCCCATGACAAAACGCAGTGCCACAGAGACACACTACACCAGGAGTGTCCCGTCCCCGGTGAAAAGGCTTGCTGCGAGTCTCTGAAACCGGCTTTTCTAATCCAGCTTTTGAGTAACACTCAGGAGAGTATCGGCCCTCTGAGGTCTCCGTTGTGGGTTAATATTTAAAAAGGTCGGCCGGTTTCATGTTCTGCTCAATGCCAGCTGACTGGCTACATATCAACTCTCCTCCTCCGGTGGAATGAAGAAGTGGAGATAAAGAGCGTTTTGCATGCTTCCCACACCGAGCTGATAAACTCCTGCCGGCTCGTGTGGAGCCTCCCTCTGAAGCTTGAGAATGGCCTCCTGCTCCCAAACAGACCAGTCCTCGTCTCCCCAACCAATAAATCACCTCTCACTCGCCTGCTTTCGCTGCTCTTCCTTCATCAGATCTGTATCGCATAGTTAAATATTTACCTGTGTGCAGATGAAGCCCGGCCACGCCCCTCTTTCTCCTTCACCCACTGTGGGGGAAAAACAGGAAGGCTTACAGGAGAAGGGTTAACTAGCTCTATTCTTCCCTTGCAATACTGCTTTTTTCCAACCCTCCACCTCCTGTCAGGATGCACGTTTGTCCCGCAGGCCTTCCTGACGGCCACTCTAGAACAACAGCCCACTTTTTTTTCCTTTTTTTTTTTAACAAAGGGACCAAAGAGCCCGACAAGTCTGACGCCATGCCGTGCGGTTTTGGGATATTTCCGACCTCTGAACGTGAGAGAAAGGGCCAACGGGCCTGTAAGTTTCTAACCCTGTTCTGACCCTCTGCCCCTCTCCCCCTCAGGTCCGCTTCTTGGAGCAGCAGAACAAAATGCTGGAGACCAAATGGAACCTGCTGCAGGGGCAGACCACCACCCGCTCCAACATCGACGCCATGTTCGAGGCCTACATCGGCAACCTGCGCCGGCAGCTGGACAGCCTGGGCAACGACAAGATGAAGCTGGAGGCTGACCTGCACAACATGCAGGGCCTGGTGGAGGACTTCAAGAACAAGTGAGTGCTGGTCTCGGTAATAAAATAAAAAAGGGGGGTTTACACAGGATCCCTCAGCGTTAGCTCATCTGAGCGGGGCCCCCTCCCAACATCTGTCCAGCTTGTTGCATCACCCAAACTTCAGGAAATTACAACACAGTGAAAGCATGTCGTGAACACCCAGCGCGTGACGGGACGCAAAGCTGGCTTTAAACGGGGGCAGGCAGAGAATGAACGAGCAGCGTAGGCCTAGTTGTCCAAAAACAAACCGAGCTATCATCAGAGGAGCTCCCCGGGGAGGAGTACGGATAGCGCCTCCCCCGCAGAGCTCCCAACCGGCGCCGGTGGAGCTCTGCCTCCGCCTAGTGTTGCTTTGCTGTACAGGCAGGCCGGGTTAGCGGCTCCTCGCCCTCCAAACGCCAGCACTAACCCCTCTGCTTCCCCTCTGCTTTCCCTCAGGTATGAAGACGAGATCAACAAGCGTACAGAGTGCGAAAATGACTTTGTCCTCATCAAGAAGGTAGGTCCTAACCCTAACCTGCATTCGCCGTCTGTCCCCGACCGCGCAACACTAAACCTGCCCCTGGCTCTTCCAGGACGTGGACGAGGCCTACATGAACAAGGTGGAGCTGGAGGCCAAGCTGGAGAGTTTGACAGACGAGATCAACTTCCTCCGATCCATCTACGAGGAGGTAGGGCTCCCGTCTGCTCCGTCCCCGGCTTCGAGATTCATCTCATGCCTGAAATATTTGCGGCGTAATTTTTGGAGAAGCTTTCGTGTTGCTGTTTTGTTTTCTTCTCCCTTTTCCTGAACATCTGCTTTGCATCTCTGCCTGACTGCTCTCTGTGGCGTGGAGCTCACGAGGAGGTGACTAATCCCTCCGCCTCCTCTCTGGTTTGGCTTCCCTCAGGAGCTGCGTGAGCTGCAGGGCCAGATCAAGGACACCTCGGTCATCGTGGAGATGGACAACAGCCGCAACCTGGACATGGACTCCATCGTGGCCGAGGTCAGGGCTCAGTACGAGGACATCGCCAACCGCACCCGCGCCGAGGCCGAGACCTGGTACAAGACCAAGGTGACTACCGACCCTCCTGGTTCTCTGTGTGACTACCCCCCCACCCCGGCGAGACGGCCCGGTCTGAACAGATCCTCCTGTCTGCCGTTCATCTAGTACGAGGAGATGCAGACGTCCGCCAACAGATACGGCGAGGACCTGAGAGCCACCAAGACCGAGATTGGCGACCTCAACCGCATGATCCAGAGGCTGACGTCAGAGATCGACGCCATTAAGGGACAGGTAGGCAGCGGCCGCACGCACGGGTGCTCGGCCGGTCCCCAGAGACTAATGAACCCCCAACTTTCCCTCCCCCCAGCGCGCCAACCTGGAGGCCCAGATCGCCGAGGCTGAGGAGCGCGGGGAGCTGGCGGTGAAGGACGCCAAGGGCCGCATCAGGGACCTGGAGGAGGCCCTGCAGAGAGCCAAGCAGGACATGGCCCGCCAGATCCGGGAGTACCAGGACCTGATGAACGTCAAGCTGGCCCTGGACATCGAGATCGCCACCTACAGGAAGCTGCTGGAGGGCGAGGAGGACAGGCTGGTGAACGGCATCAAGTCCATCAACATCTCTCAGCAGAGCTGTAAGTCGCCATCACCCTTAAACCCCCCACTCCCACGTCCAAAGGTCTGCTCCTCCCAGGTTTCTCACCCCACAGCTTGTTCTTCTCCTCTGAACAGCGAGTTACGGCGGGTTCCCCATGGACAGTATGAAGAGCAGCTACTCGTCCGGCAACTACTCCAGCGGCTTCAGCAGCGGCGGCGGCTATGGCGGCGGCAGCAGCTATGGCGGCGGCAGCAGCTACGGCGCCGGCAGCTATGGCGGCGGGAGCTACGGCGGCGGCTTCAGCAGCGGCAGCGCCGGCGGCTACAGCAGCACCACCACCCAGAGCAAAAAGAACGTGGTCATCAAGATGATCGAGACCAAGGACGGCCGAGTGGTGTCCGAGTCCTCCGAGGTCATCGAGGACTGAGCCGCCCACTTGGGAGGCGCAGTCCTACCCGCCCGCTACGATATCCCCCCCGGGCCTCTCTGGTAGTTCCACACCCACATTTCACCACAACCGTAGTTAAACGAGTCCGAAGTAAAGCGCTTGGCCTCCACTCTCCAGCAGAGCATAAGCATAGAAGCAATAAATGATCCTAACACTACCAAAGATCTGAAAGGGACCAAAGAAACTCACCCTGCTATGTCTGACTGTACAAAAAAAAAAAAGTAGTTTTGTACCAGAAAACGTGTTTTTAAAGAAAAAAGAAGAAAAAAAAATACGGGCAAATTGCACAAATGGTAAAAGAAGATGCATCACACTCCCATGAAGTCTATTCAACTGCTAGTCCATAGAAGGGCCGTGGCCCTCAAGTGGACAGAGAATGTGAATGTACCGAAACAGAGCTTCAGTGTTGTTGGTCAGCTGATGTCTAAAAACCGCCTGCTGCAGTAGGTCGCGCATGTGTTTCCCCGTGTGTCCCGTAACTGAAACCGTTCCACCCCTTAGGAGGCCGCCCACGCCAGATTTTGTCCTGAGGTGCTGTTTTTGCTACCAAACTGAATAAAAATGTTTACTGACAAAAAACTAAATGGTGGTTGGCTGTTTTTTCTCTTTTTCTTTCTTTTTTTTTTTTTCTTCAAGCTATGACTTCCAATGACAAAGCACAGACTCGCTGGAGATTTTGTGAGTCTGTTCATGTGCTGAAAGGGCCGACTTCTGAGACGTATAAAGATGGCACAAATAAAATGAATGAACCTTATTGTGTTGCATTTCTTTGGAGTTACTGACATTTAAAAAAAATAAAAAATTTATCTTTCAAATCTTTTCCTGGTAAAACAAGGTGACACAAGTTGCATTTTCTAGTAACTCTACAAAGCCTGAAAAATTGGATAAAAATGTATGACCTTTATCTGAAAGCTTCGTTTGGGGGGGGGGGGGAAGGTTTACAATTGGAATAAATGTTTTCTGCATTTTGGGGGAAAAATTGAAAAGAAATCCACGTGTCAATCAGAAATAATCCCAGAGGGAAATGAATGAAATTTCAAATATCCATACTGCACTTAAGGGTTGATATTGTTGGGTTTATGGTGGTGAGGGCTGGTGAATATCCAAATCCCCAGAATTAACAGTGTAATTGTGCCTGTTATGCAGCTAAAAGGCAGCACAAACTGAGACAGCGCCCGTTGTGTCTATGCTGCCGTTGGAAATTCCAACTTTTTCACATTATTTGTGCAGTTTAAATTTCAGTTATCTGCTCTTTTTTATTTCTTTTACATTAGCCATGTATGTACCTGAGCAGAGTGGTTCTTCTTCTTCATTCGGTGATTGAAAATGTGGAAGCATTGTGTGCATTTAAAATGGGAAAAGGATGGTGTCATCATCCAATAGTTAATTTACGGAAGTTATTGTGATGTGGTGCAGCAGAGGGCCCACAAAACAGGTGGGAAGCGCTCAGGTGAAATAATCAACTAAACTAACAGAAACCACAGAGGGAAGGGTTTCAAATGACAAAAATCCTAAACACAAAGAATACCTTTTTTTCACTATGTCCTGAGAGTCCTAATCATAAGATGTATTCTACATTTAAAAAACTAAAGAAATTCAATCCTTTATGTGGCTGGTTATACTTTAAATTCTACATTTCCTCAGAAAAAAACATTTAAATGTATTTGTATTCCTCAGTCACATGCAGAATAAAAGAAATAGTCAAGACTTTGAGCCTATTTTGCCCTTGAAGTGACGATAGCTGGTGAGTACCCAACATGGATCATTTAATCATTTCTATTCCAGCTTTTTGAAGATGGAAATTCTTCAAAAACTGGAGGGGATGCAGATGTGTCCTATGTTACTACGGAATCAACTCAAAGACAGATGAGAGCAAATGGATAAAATGGCCCTCTGTCTACACTGATCTACCACTAGGGGGCAGCATCTGATCACTGGAACCGGTATGGATTGCAGATATAGAATTTTTATTCCTGAATGACACGAAACGTGACCCCTAAAGGAAAACCTGTGGGAAGCTTTGGCCTGACAGACCGAGCTGTCACAATCCAGAAGACTGGAGCAAAGCTCTTGCAGTTTGAGGGCAGATTTCGGTCCATTTCGATCAGTAACTGCTTACCTGACAGTCTCTCTGGATGCTTTCTGCAGAAATGAGTGTTTAAGGATGAAGGAGTCTGACGTCCTGGTGTGTCTGTTCTTCTTTTTGCTGCCACTGACTGTACAACAGCGTCCAGTTAATTCAGTAAAAAGCTAAAACCACCCAGAGGAGAGTCCATTTACTTCTGTTCACAGTACATTCTTTGAATGGAATTGATCTAAATTTGAAAGATGCTGGATCGGGTTTTGATCCCAGACGCAGCAGAGCAGACATCAGTGTGTTCTCTGTGCATGCGGCCGTGTGTTTCCGTTGGGTGGTGTTGCCTTTTGGGCACTAACACGTGTCAGATCCTGCCGTGGTCTGTGCACATGTGAAAAGTCAAGCAAACTGACGGGTCGGCACCGCATTTGCATGTTGGCGCAGAGCAGGCCGGGGGCCCCGACGCTCACGAAATGGAGGCATGAATGAAGGAGCCGTGTGTGGCACACTCGGCCCAGACTTGTAAGCTCTTGTGCAGGTAAACCCCCTCCAGGCACCACCACCGGGACCACAGAGCTGTTTTCAGGGCCGTTCCTGCCCGCTCGGGAAGCCTCGAGGAGCTCTGCTGTAACTTTTTCTGTCTCCCATCTGTTCGAATTGGGCTCTCGTTACTCACTTTAGCATTGTATGCTATGACATAATCCATGAAAATGACTGATCGTCTTATTCCTTGTGTTAAACTCTCTGGCCGTGCACACAGATTCCCCTTCTCTCTGTTACGGTACATACTCGTCTACAAGGTCAACATCCACACACACACTTTCTTATCACGTTCCACTGACATCTGCATGCATTAGGAACTGGCCTGTTCATGTCAGAGCTAACTGGCCGATAACAATCTGTTGAGTCCAGTCCTCCTTTTCTAAAGGGGCCCAGCCCAGAAGATAAACGTCCATCACACCCGGATTATGGGGCTGAGACCCTCAGGGAGCTTTGGGGGTCAGAGCCCAAGTCTGATTTATGATTTACTTTACCTGTGACCAATAAATTTCATATTTGTACTCTTGATCTACTCTAATTGTCTCATGCTTCTATTAAAGAATCGGGCTAACACATCAGACCAAAGTCCTCCACTGATGAAACCACGAGCTGCACATCTGGAAAGGCCTGCAGGGGTCCTGACCTTTTACTGTTACCTGTTCTGGCTTGTTAGCCAGGGTCCAAATTCAAAGTTTTCTTTCTTTTTTTTTTGAAAGGGCACAGAGTTGTCTTTAGTCTCTCACTGTCAGAGAGACACTGATTGGGTCCCTTCAGCGGACCAGCCTAAACGAGCTCCTCATTTTCATTTTGCTCCATGTTGGAACGCTCTCTCGGTAACAAAGTGTCTCAACAAGCCCAGGAACCAACGGAACCCTTGATAGAGTCTCAGAAATGCCTCCGGGCGTTGCTGAGTCCCCCGGCTGAGGGCCGTAGTCGAGGAGTGACGGCGTTCTTTGCATCTGTCGTCGGCTCTTAACACCTGGCAGCGCTTCAGCGTCGTGGATCCACGCCAAGTCACACCTTGTTCATGTCGCTGAGGTGGCCGACTGGATGTTCTGGCAGCGAAACCCGGTTGACCCTGGGGCGCCATGGCAGCAACATTTTTACTTTGAATTCTCTGAACGATAAAGACAGTGGCTTCTTTTATGATCTCCTTGGAACACAGGACACACCCGACCTGACATTAACTTCGTTTTACTCTTTAATTCTCTCATCAGACCTTCCAAACACGTTGGTCTCATCAGCTTTGCTGTTCATGTTTTGGTGACTCTGAGTCGGGGGGGGCACGGAAATCTGATCTTGGTCCAAACGTATGTAACTTCATTCGTTTTGGAGCCTGTCGGGGTCCAATGAGAATGCAATCTAAATTGTGTGAAATCCAATTATCCGTCCATTTTCATAAATGCTTATTCGCTAATGGGGTCACGGGAGTCAGTGGGCGAGAGGCAGGGTCACCCTGGAGAGTCCCCAGTCCATCACAGGGCCACACAGAGACACACAAGGACCAACAACCTCTCACACTCACTCCTAAGGGAAGTTTGGAATGTCCCATAAACCTAACATGCAGGTGTTTGGTTGGTGTGAGGAAGCCGTAGAACCCGGAGAGAACCCACACGGACACAGGGAGAACATGCCGACTCCACCCAGAAAGGTCCTGGTTCCCCCGGGGACTAAAACCCAGAACCCTCTGGCTGTGTGGCAATGTTGCTGACCACCATACCACCCTGCCGCCCTGAAATCTAATCAGATTTTGACGATTCCAGGTTTACGCGATAACTTTATGACAGAAAAATCTGAAGATTCGAGTTCCAAGATGCAACGATTAAGCATTAGTTTAGTTTTTGGAGGCTCCATCAGATTGGAAATGAACCATGTTCTGCATCACCGGTTCGGTTTTCGTGTTGATAAATGTCTGTCTCTGTGAAACAGCTCCTCCTTAAAGTGGAAGTGGCTCCAGTGGCATGCAGTTAATTGGATTCTTCCATTCTTTAAATCCTGTTGACCTTTTCCAACAGAGATGAGCTCAAAACAAGTGGGAGGAGCTGCGAACAGAGGCGATAAGGGAAAATATGAGAAGATTCAGATGTGCCCCTAAAAGAGCGTCTTTACCCGGAGGAGGTTGATCTCCTTTGATCGACAGTTGCCCCGGGACGCCAAGCCTTAAGCCAGGAGGCATCTGCAACTCACTCTCTAAATTCCCAGGATAACTATTTGAGTAACTGTTGGTTGAAAATAACACGTTGTTCTATTTGATTGTTTCATCTGTGATATTACACTGATATATTTTCTCTGATCCAAACCATAGTTGAATATTTCTAAGTTCCTGCTTACAAGTTAGGGATCATTTCATGTATATGAGGTCTATTATTCTGAATATCACAGAATGAAATGTTGAATTTTTGGTAACGTGTCAAATAGATGTTGTGACATTGGTGTTAATTTCATTCTCCTTCAAAACAGACCTGTAATAGAAAATAGTCAATGGGAAGACAATACGAGGATAAAGTAGTGAAAAAACACCAATAAAGAAAAGAAAAGGAGTTCATTTCTTCGGTCATAAGCTGCATTTTGTCAGCACCCAACAGGGCAGGAGGCGGACGGGGTCGCGTCCAATGGCTGTTGGAGCTATCCGATCCAGATTTATGGGTGTAACACCTTTCAGACATGAGTCTGATGGATGATTAACAGCCAGAGGATTCACATTAGCTCATCGCTGAGACAAAAAAAAGTCATAGAGTCAAACAATGACATAATTGCATGTCCATTAACACTAACAGACGAAGACTTGTCCAAACGCAGTGATGCACTCAGACAGTCAGGAGATTGGAACGGGTCAGACCCAAACGGCTGTCTAATTCAGCTGATGACCACACGGCCTCAGCACTGTCTCTCTGACTTATCAAAAAGGAAGAAAGCCCATCACCTCCAACTGAATCTTTCAGA